AACTTAAGATATTATATAGTTTCTCTCTCTTAAAAATTTTGGGATAGTTTTTATTTCTTAAACTTTTTAGGTACTCTCTCTAAAATTAGATATAGTTTTTCTCTCTAAAAATTAAAATATGAGATTGTTTTTCTCTCTAAAATTTTTGAAATAGTTTCTCTCTATCTAAAAATTTTCATGTACTGTCTCTCTCTAAAATATGATAATTTCTCTCTTAAACGTCAAATTTGAGATAGTTTCTCTCTCTGAAATTTTGAAATAGTTTTTTTTTCTAAATTGTTTTGGTATTTTCTCTCTCTAAGATTTTGACATACTTTTTTTCTGCAAAAGTTAAAATTTGAGATAGTTTATCTCTCTAAAATTTTGTGATGGTTCATCTCTCTAACAAAAATTGGTACTTCTCTGTCTGAAATTTTAACATACTTTCTCTCTCTCTAAAATTTTAATATACTTTCTCTCTCTAAACCTTAAAATTTGAGATAGTTTTTCTCTCTAAAAATTTTGAGATAGTTTATCTATTTAAAAAATTTAAGTACTTTTTCCCTCTAAAATTTTCTTACCTACCAAATGTTCCCTATGTTTTGGGTGAAGGGAACCAATGAATGAAATCCATGAGCATTAAAAATGCAAAAAAACAAGTTTTGGTGTGAAAATGATATCATAGAAAAGTAGGTCTTCATTCCATGATTTGATTTTCCTGATTTCAAGTATCCCCGTTGTTAAACGATCCAAACAATGGATTTGGCAAAATCCAATATATTAGGAGTCTATGCCTTAAAATCCATATACCCAAGGCTCTTAAGTTTACTCCTCACTCAAGCTAGCTTTGTCTTCTCTGGTTAGTTTCTAGGGAAAATTACATACATAACCGTTATATTTTACATCATTATGGATGTACCAAATCGTTTCTGTTATTACATGTATGTCCGCTTTTTATCTTTTGTAATGCAATTTTTTTTAAAAAAGATGTTTTTACCATTTTTCGGATGATGAACAACGGAATTGGAGGGTTTTTCAGATGCTCAATATCAGAAAATAGGCTGAAAGTTTAACGTTCACATTCTCATTTTTGGCTGTTTAACATCCAAATTAAAAGGTTTTTCGGATGTTCAACATCTGAAAATAGCTCGAAAGTTAAACTCTCACATTCTCATTTTCAGTCGTTGAACAGTCACATTTTGCAATCAAATTTTTGGATATTGAACATCCAAAAATAGGCCGAAAGTTTAACGTTCACATTCTCATTTTTTGGTGTTAAACATCCGAAAATGGTTTCAGATGTTGGAGATTAAAAAATAACGAATTTTTAAAAAATTATGTTATAAAAAGAAAAAAAAGAACATACATTTAATAATGAAAACTATTTAGTACATCCGTAATAACGTAAAGTATAATGAATATATATGTAATTTTCTCTAGTTTCTATAATAATCATGAGTCAATGTTCAAAAGACTATACAAGTAGGAAATTGAAACTTATGTACTAACTTAGGCAAAAAAGTTTACCATTAAACAATATTAAAAATTACAAAGCTACCTTTATAAATAGTAACTTGTGACCGCTGCCCATGAACAATAGCAGGTGAATAGAAATAAAAAATAAAAATAAAAAACACCCAAGAATTCTTAAAAACTTAAAAACCTGGGAACGTATAATATACGACCATATATTTTTTGTACAAGGTAGCAATCATCTTTAGCCACTAAATTTAAAATTTGGATATCGAGAATAATGCACAAAATTCACGGAAAATTTAATTGCGCATTGCCCCTAATCAATGGCACAACCTTAGCCATTCGATTTTAAATTTAATGGCTATGAACAAGTGTGACCACCTTGTGCCAAAAGTAAATGGTTTCATCTTATATTTTCTTGGAAAAAACCCTAACAAAAAATTCCAAAACCAAAATTAAAATATATAGATTTTGAAACTGAATAAAAATTTAAAAATAAAAATAAATTTGTTTTGCATCATTAAAAAATCTACATCATTTGCCCTCTATTTTCTAAAGACATGCCCTATTTTGAAAGAAAGAACTATGTGATATTTTATCAAGGAATTATATATATATATATATATATATAACCCCTTTTGTTTTGACAAAAGATCACTTATAGGTAGCCCTATTACAACAACATATACTTCAAAATAAAATCAACATGGCAATAAAACCAAGATCTTAAAACTTAATGCCATTGAAATAACAATGCACTATGCTTTAGAATAAAAAATAAGATTGTAATAAATAAAAGAGAATAGTGCTGGAGATTACCTCAACCAAGCTTATTACACCCCATACCGAGTCACCACCATTCGATGGCACGGGATCGACGATCTTGCTTCAATATCAAACCAGGAAAATAAGTTTAGGCCAAGCCACACCAATAGAACATGAATCACTTTAATCACAAACTCAAACCCTAGCTGAATTTTCTTAGCAACTTAGTTTGATAGAGATGGTTTTTTGCTAAACCCTAAAACCGTTAGTCATAAATCCATAGTTGAGAGATAGGAGAGAGAAGAACACTATAACCTAACCTTTAGGTTTTTTCACAATGTGGGAGAGAGAGAAACTTTTTTTAAGAGAGAGAGAAATTCTAAGTGGGATATGAGAGAGAAATATGGAACTAGGTACAAGAGATAAGGTGTAGAGATTTTTTAGTAAAGATAATCCATTTTTATAGGCTTTGAACAAAATTAATGTTTCTTAGTCCTTGGCTTGCCTCTTCTTATGAGATTGAACATAGACCATCGTTTAAGGGTGACTTGTGGGGTGAGAGATCTGAGCCATCCATTTTATAAATGAGCCATCAACATTATGGAAGCTACATGAATCCTTATCCCCCTTTCCTAAACCATTTTCCCATCAATAGAAAATAAGTTAAATTAATTTTAATTAAATATTGTGCATTCCATAAAATAGCACATCTTTATACATATTTTCCATAAAATATATATCAAGTCAATATCTACTTCCATATTAAGTCAATATATAGCCAATACACATTTAATCCATAATTTGACTACATGTCACAATTTAAAGTTACCAAAACATAAGGTCACATGGACCACAAAACAAAACTTTCCATAAAATAGAAAGTAATAAGAGGTGGGGTGTGCCACCCATGGGAGGCACTATGGGCCCCACCTTCTAGAAACCATGTGCACAATGAGCCCCCATGATTATTATTTTTTTATGTATTTAAAATTAACAAAATAATTTCTAGTAAATATTAAAATATTGTAAAATCAATATCTTTAATTTTATAAATCCAAAAATTATAAATAAAATATCCAAAGGTTCATAAAAATTCAAATAATAATTCTACAATAATCATTATCATTAAACAAACGCAATTAAATTAATTTGATGGGAAAGGGATCTATATGGTTTAGGAATTGAATCAACAAGCATGAGACACTTCACCTTCAACTGTGGACTACAGATTATTTTTGCTTTATCAGACCGACCCAGTGTTTCCCATGACCCAAGGTTCAAGCAGAGGCTCATTAGTGGGTCACCAAAGTCTGGCTGATGAGCCAAGGGATCGCAATCCCAATATGTGGATCACAGGTCCTCCCCTAGAAACGAGTCCAGGTCACCAAGACCTGATGCGACTACTGCTCTATGACGCATATGGGGATCTCTCGGACATTCATATATCTCACACTAAAAGATGGATTTCTGGCTTTCCCAAATGATCTATCGATATGCATGTCGTGTAATGGCACATGGATGAAGTTTTGTCCCCCGTCTCCTTAGACTACCATCACACACAAGGGTTACACAGTCCCTCGGCTCACGCATCCGGGCATATTTTTCAACCTCATCAATGACTAACATGAATTTTTTCCAACCGACTGGCCTGTCAAGCACAGTCCGGTATCTACAAACCTCGTTTGCATGGTATGGTCCACAAGGGACCACTCCTACTAAATTCATGTTCCACTATATCATTTCATTTTACAAACACTTATGAATCCTGTAAAGGCTATATAAACCCAACAAACTTGTCCCTAAGGAAAGGGTTCCCTTTTACACTTGTCTCTAAAAATTAGAGTTCCATTTCGCTGAGACATCTTTTGTCCGCAGTCGCTCTTGAAATGTCGAATGCCTTTAAATTTGAAATCATCTTTTGTCCTTTTGTCCACAGTCACTCTTGAAATGTCGAATGCGCAAATCTGTACATCGACTGAGCAAAGCCCCTATGCTGAGAATTGAATTTAGCATATTTGGCATTGTCATTGTTTTTAGCATATTTGGCATCCCCCTTGGAATGGTCCAAATTCCAACAAAGAATATCACTACCTATTTATTGGAAAAATTTTATGAGGTTCACACTTTAAAATGTAGAATTAAAAAGCACCTCAAAAATCCTTCAAAAAAATCTGTTTTTCATGTTGAAAAAATAACTAATTGGTCACCTTGATATTAAGATGTATGGATGTGAAAAAAAAAAAAAGATTTTAAATGCCAAAAAATAGTACATCTTGCAATACAGTATGTAGACCGTCTATTTTCAAGATTTTCATATATGTATAGATCTACTTGATTTGAACTATTTTTAGAGTTCAGAACTATAAAAAGAGATGAAAAACTATTTTTACACCATCTTAAGGATTTTCGATTCTAAGATTACATCTTATGATAAAATTTGCAGGTCCGCTTTTTTTGATTGTTTAATTTTTACAATCTTATACAAACCACACCCTTATTTATTAAATTGTAAGAAGTTATATGAAAAAAGAATTTAAAAATATCTCTTTAACTTCTTGAACAAATTTTTCACCTTCTTTTCAAATTCCTTTTAGAGTCGTAACATAGAATTACACATTACATGCCCATTGTTTATTTAGTCGAACATTCGTCCTTGCTTACAAACTTTCTACAGCAGGCTCTCGATGGGACCCATATATTTCTCTAGCGTTTCCAAAAACGATCAATAAATTCTGCCAGTAGACAACATGAGATTATTTATGAGTGGAAACATCCACGCAATTCTTTATTTTCGCCCATAAGTTCATCACCTTCCAAAAAAATTGGGTGGCATGCATTTTTCAACAGCCACGACGGATATGCTATATCCGTAACGATCAAAAAATTCATATAGAACCACAATGGACGGCGTCAACTGTTGCGAGTCCATTCAATAAACCACCACAAACATAACAAGTCTAATAACATTGACTAAATACTGTAGCATTTCACCTATGAGTATTTTTGAAGTTTTCCTTTATTAGGGACTGATTTTTGCAGGCAGAGGAAAAAACTTATTGAATGCTCATTGCATCGAACCTCGTCATAACCATTGCGAAAAGGATATGCACCCGGCTGCCACCAGGCGAGACGTGGCTTAAAGCCCTACCAGGCGCAAAAATGGCCCCAATTGATAGCCCGTCCCAGAAGCCCGAGGCCTGGCCTGGACCATTGGCAGCCCTATATGCACCAGCAGAAGATTGTCAAAACCGCCACTCATATTAATTGGCACTATTCATGGGAAATTAAATACTTTCCTCATCCTGGAGAGATATTGGATAGCACCAACCCAGTGATTGTTACACGAACAGTTAATATCATAAAAAAACATCCAAAGAAAAGACAATCGAAAGGCCATGGTTTTCACACTGTTTAATACTAATTATTTCCATAGTAAGTTTACGCACCAAGTTGGAGTTGGAGTAGTAGTAGAATTCATGGGGGTGGGTTACAAGATGAACAAGGTTGAAACCCTCTCAATGGCATTCTTTTATTGAATAAGGTTTATATAAGGTTGACACCTTATATTTGTAGAATTAAGGTCCACCTAAAAAATTCATCAAGAAAGGCTGTTTCGATGATGTTAAACCATCTAATTGATCACTTCAATATGGGAAAAAAAATTATTTATCAAAAACAGTAAATCTTGCAACATACTATCTGGAGCGTTCAATTTCAAGATTTTTATGCGTTTATAAATCTGTAAAAATTATTTATCAAAATAAATAAATCTTGCAATATACTATCTAGAGCGTCCATTTTCAAGATTTTTGTGTGTTTGTAAATCTGCTTCGTTTCGGCTATTTTTCGGAGTTTAAAATTGATAATTGGAGATGAAAATAGATTCTCGGGTCATCCTAAAATTTATTAACAAGAAAATTATATCTTATGACTATGTTTGGAGGTATGCCTCACGTCAATTGTTTAAGGTTGTGACCTAATGCACATCACACCCATTTTTTATTCAACCCAAAAAAAAAAAAGAGCTTATTTTCGAGAGGACAAGTACCTATCCAGTCCATTCACTGCAAGATACCAATTGTGTTACTTTAACATTGAAAAACAATAAAAACGAAAGGAAAAGAAAAACATAAATTGAGAAAAAAAAGACCAAAAAGAGATGGTTTTGGGATCTACTTCTCTGACGCCTCTTTCTTGTTGACAACAGGTTGGACTGACGCAGCTGCCTCCAATGCCTGCCTGAAACCATCTGGAAGAGGAATTGGCCTGTGGCGTGGAACATGCTTGGGTCCTGGAGTGTCATCCTCAATAATCTCACACTTATAGTCTTCAGGGACACCCCAAGGATCCCATTCTGAAACATAAAAAACATATATATCAAATGGATGTACAAGCAATCCTTTTATCTCCTTTATTGGGTGAAGGCATCCAAAATAGAAATGAGCTTCTCCATGAAAACTACATCTGCAGTGTCGTCCTCTATTACTAGATATTTTCAGAGACGTGATTGTGCATCTATGCTATAGAATATTGATTAAAAGGGAAGTTATCAATTCACACCTAAGAGATCAAATATTTGACATTTTGCTCATCACAATTTCCAAATATTTATGACCATGATATGTTCTTTGATGGACTGTTTGAAATTTCATCAAATAATCATCGGACATCTGAAATTAGATTAAAAGAACCAAGCGGAAAGATTGATTAGATTGGAAGACTTCTTGCTTTGCTGCACATAGTGTTTAAAATGGAATTTGCGCATAAAAGTTCACCATAGGCATTATAACCACAACATGTATCAGTATAGATGCTAGGTAATATTAAGGATCTTTTTAGATTCTATGAATTGCGTATCTAATACTATATAATGAGATCAGCAGTAAACAAACAATGCATACACCCACCCAAAACAAAACAAGATTACTCTTAGTTTCTCTTTTTCTGTTCTCACACACTGGCTAGCTACTCAGTGTACTCGCAAACAAACATAAGCGATAGCTAAAGTACCGCTACTTTCAGATGTCCACACATGCACAAGAAAAACAAACATACAGTTTATGAGCGGATACATGAGCCTTGAAGCCTTGCTTGAGTTATTGAGCATGCAACAATATTGAGTCTTAATTGATAAGCTGGTCTCAGACCTGCTACCTCAAGGTTGCACAGCAAAGCACTTTCCAGTAATGTCATGGGCACAAAATGCCATCCTTTCTTCAGGTCAAGAAAGAATGGAAGAATTTTATATTTTATCTAACAGCAAGCTATCATATCTTCAATTTTTCACTCTAAAAAGTATTGTTTGTCTTAAAGATCATGGTACACACATTTAGACATCAGTTCTGCTTCCAGGGATTTCACTGACATATCTCCTTATCTCTCTTTCTGCTTCTCTAAACGTATCTACAACTAGATGTAATCTTTTTTTTTATGGGATTGTATACAATAGTACTATTTACCTTTGATACATGAAGGTCACGATTACTTGTAACCATCCAATGAGAAATCTAATGGCTCAGATGTGTCACAAAGTTCGAAAAAATTTCTTTTGACGTTTGAGCTTGATCAATGGAATAAATGCAGCCATCCAATTTCATATCCAATCGTCAAGATTAATTGTGATCACGTTGTACCATAGGTAAATGGTCTCATTGTATACTTTTCTTTTTTTATTGGTTAGAACTAGCTGCATTTTATCTCATAATATTGCAAATTCTTCCACTACATGTATTGAGGATTTCTTTAAGGTGCTTGAGTTCAGAAAAAACTTGAAACTAAGACAAATATTGGGGAGGAACATTCAACTCTCTAATGATGCCCATAAAACCTGGACGATCAATCCACATATGTTCCAAGACTAAAAAGGAATCCCTCTTTTCTCCAATCCAGCTTCTTCCACCATCGTAAACCCCAAATTGATACAGCCATGATATACTTTTTTAGTTATTGCAAGAACCCAAGTACCTCTTACGGATCCATGAAACAACTCTCAGTAATCTTTTTCCCTTTTTTGAAAGATACAGAGTAAAACAATCAACATATTGATATTTGAAGGAAAAAAACAAAACATTTTACCCAAGTAGATGGCCATTACCACTAGGGAATCATCATCATCATCAGAGCCTCTTCCCCCACTATTTGGGGTTGGTTACACGATCCCGGTCCGCTATTCCGAACTGTCAAGGGCCATAACCTCAGTCAGGCCTTAAGTCGCCAAATCTTGTCTCACTACTTCCAACCATGTCCTTTTGGCTCTACCCCTTGCCCTTTTTGAGCCTTCCACTGGATCCTACTCGCACCTCCTAACAAGTGCCATTATGGTTCTGCACTGCACAGATACAACCCACCCAAGTCTACTTTCTCTCACTTATCCTATTGGAACCACACTTAAGTTCTCCCGAATGTATCCATTTCGAATTCTATCCCTTCTTGTCTTGTCATTCATCCATCCCAACATCTTCATCTCAGCTACACTCATCATATAGGTATGTTGTTTCTTGTTCGCCCAACATTAAGCCTCATAGAGCAAAGCTGGTCTCATAGTTGTCCAATACAACTTCCCCATCGGCTTCATTACTATGCAGGGATCACACAAAATTCAGTACGTGACATCTTCCTCAATCTCTCCATTTTCCTAAATATTGATTCAATATATCGAAAGTGTACGCTTTGGGTATTTTTTGGTTGTCACTCTTAACTACTTCCTCGTCTCTACTCCTATTATTACTAAACTTGCGTTTCATATACTCTGTCTTAGTGCGGCTAATTTTAAAACTTTTAGATTTTAGAACATCTCTCCAAAGTTCTAACTTTGTGATGATGCCGATTGGGTTTCATCGATCCAAACTATGGCCTTTGTGAATAACATACGCCACGGTACCTCAACTTGTAGGCATCTTGTTAAGTCGAAGTCGTCCATAAATAAGACAAAGGCATTTAGGCTCAACCTGATGTATACCAATTGTCACTGAAAACTCACTCCTCTCCGCTAATTGCTCGTACATTAGTTAGTGCTCCTTCGTGCATATATCTCACCAAGTCAATATATTTGGAGACTCATTTCTTTTTCAAAACCCACCAAATTAAATCTTTAGGTACTTTACCATAAGCTTTCTCTAGATCAATAAAGACCATGTGGAAGTCCTTTGCCTTCGCCCTAAATTTCTCAACCAGTTGCCTAAGTAGAAAAATAGCCTCAATTGTTGACCTCCTTAGCATAAAACCGAATTGGTTTTCTGATACACTCGTTTCATGCCTGAGTCATTGCTCAATCACTCTCTCCCACAGCTTCATAATGTGGCTCCTAAATTTGATCCCATGATAGTTTGCACAATTTTGCATGTCTCCATTGTTTTTGTAAATAGATACTACAATACTTTTCCTCTATCCATCTGGCGTTTCTTTTGTTGTCAACACATTGTAGAACAGCTTGGTCAGCCAGTCAATGCCAATCTGCCCTACGCACTTCCAAACCTTTATCGCAATACCACCTGGTCCTAAAGCCTTTCCTATCTTCATCCTCTTTAAAGCTTCCTTCACTTTTCATATTCTAATTCTACAAATGTATGTACGACATCCGCCCTCATTTATACCAATGATTCCTTCTACAGCTACGTCCCCATTATATTCATCATTTAATAAATTCTGAAAATAAGCTCTCCACTTTTCGTTAACCTCTTCATCCGTCACGAAGACCCTTTGATCCTTACTTTAATACATTTAATATGGTCTAGATCCCTACACTTTCTCTCTCATTTTTGCTAATTTCAAGACATCTTTTTTACCTTTTCGTGTTCCCAGTTTACTACATAGAAAATTCACTTGTTCGACCACCTAGGCTTTCGCCTAGGCAGAAAAATTCAACAAATGACTCGCTAACGAGGAGGGACTATTAGGCGTCCTGCTTCTAGGCTCCCACCTAGGCAAGCAAGGCACTACAATCTAGGCACCGCCTCGTGACAACTTGCAAAAAGGCAAAAAAAGGTCTCAACAAGGGTTAAAAAAAAAAGTAATTTTCCCCCCTTAAACTCCCCAAAAACCACTCTTAAATATGTCGAAAGATCGATAAATTTCTTTATTTTTTCGATTCCTTCCCAAAATAAAAGCAATAGTTCGTGGGTGGATTAGGAGATTCTAGTAGTTCATTTTGAGGACTCTTTGCAACCCAATAGACGAGGTTTGCACCGACATTGATTTGATTTTGATATTTTTAAAGTATTCTCATATTTGAAAAAGGGTTTTGATTTGATTAGTTACAATGTATTACGTTGTGAATTATTTTATTTTCTTTTACGATATATTTACATGTTTGTAGTTGAAAGATTGATTTTTTTGTGATTAATTGAATGTTTACTCATTTGGACGATGAAAATAGGCAAATATCACATTCGTTTAGGAATAGTTGATTCCTTTTTTGTACAATGTCTCATGTTTAGATATTCTATTATTTTTGTTTTATTTTATTTGATAAATTATTGATTATGTGATATCTTAAAGAGTTAAGTTTTGTGTGAAAAGTGAAACTAAGATATTATATATTCAATTAAGTCTTACTGTTTTAAAACTAATATCTTAATGATATCACATATGTTACATCCTTAATTATATGATATCTTAATGAGTTATGTCTTGCTGTACAATTAACATAGAATCATCTTAATCTTATACATTCATGTAAAACTAACATAGTACCATTTTTGGTTTAGGCAGGGCGAGCAGGGGGGGGTGGGCTTTCAATTTTTGTGACACTGGCCTTAAGTTTAACCTTACTTACGATTTGTTTGGCATTTTTTTTGCATTTTTATATTTTTCTAGGTTTTAATCATTTCTATTACATTATCAAGTTTTATAACATGATCGTTTTTTGCTAATGGCCTTCTGCACCTCATCACTCCATCACCAACTTTCTTTATCGGAATTTCTTATTCCTCTAGTTTATCTTAAAACATCTTCTACTACTTTCCCAATACAGTCAGCCATCTCATTCCACATAACATTGACCTCATATTCAAATTTCCATTTTCCTTGTTTAACTAATTTATCCCTAAATAAATCTATTTTGTCATTTTTTAAATTCTACCACCGAGTTCTTCTACACCTGTTAATTTCACCCCTTCTCTTCCATCTCTTCATGCTAACGTCAATAACTACGACCCTATATTGGGTAGTCAAACTCTCTCCTGGATTAACTTTACAGCCATTACATGATGGACAATCTACCTCCTTAACTAAGAAGTCTAGTGGAATTTTATATGATCCACTTTTGTAGGTTATTAAAACTTTGTCTCGCTTTTTAAAGTAAGTGTTTGCTATAGGTCTTAGGCCATAGCAAAATCTAGAGTAGCCTCACCCATC